AAACTCAAATGGTAGTAAGTTTTTAATAAATAATTAATGAAAATACATTTCTTACACCTGACAAGCGGGGAAAAGTTGTTCTTACAGAGTGCAAATCATGTGATATTTTTCGAGGGTGGTGTCAAATTTTATTCACTTAATTATTTATATGAGAGGGAAGTTTGAACCATAAATAATTAGAAAAAAAAGTTCTTACAACTTGAACGCGGACCAAAAGAGTTCTTACACTACTTTCAAAGTGATAATTGAGAATATCCACTGAGCTCTTTTGCTGCAGTGCGCATGCGACAGTTATTATTTAGTTTTACTTCATCAATGGATTTAATCGCATGCAAACATAAAAAATAGATTTTATTCCAGATCAATCAGAGGAAATAAATGACGGTGATATTGGCCACCCGATGGAAAATTTAGAAACAGAATTTTCGGGTGACGATTCCAATTCCTCCCCAGAATATTCAGATGAAGATAAAGAAATTGATGATATATAATTTTTAATGTCAGGTTTTATTAAACAAATGTAATAAACAATGAATACTTTTATTGATTTACATCGTTTCTTTTATTATTTCAAATATTCATGTTATTAGTCACACGTACTGTTAATTACTGTATGCGCACTATACCAATGAATACGTTGGATATTAACTATTTTTACTTTGAAAGTAGTGTAAGAACTCTTTTGGTCCGCGTTCAGGTTGTAAGAACTTTTTTTTCTAATTATTTATGGTTCAAAATTCCATTGCACATTTTTTTTGCAATATTAAACACATTCGACGTGACATGGTACCGGTGAAAAAGCAATATAGAGAAATATAACGAAATTATTGCGAAAAATCTAACTTTGTAGTGATTGGATCCAATGTAACTTAAAAAAAAAATCCAATAATATAATGAATTTTTATTGGTTGAAAATTCGGTAACCAAATCAAATATCGTCTGCTTCTCAAACTCGCATGTTAATTATCAATGTATTTTTTGTTTAATGACTTTCACAAACATTAAGTTTTAGCAAATCGAATATAAGTATATTTTTATCACGTACAATAAATGTATTATATACTAGTACGTACACCCCCTTTGGTAAACAAACTAAGTACTATATACGGTGTTTCAGCTTGTCTTTGCTTTGTTACCGCATGAGTCCCGCAGGTCTCGGTGAAGTGAAATTAAGTGTTGAAAAGATTAAAAAGTAAGTATATATAGATTAGTAGGTAAATTGAATATTTTTGTCGCCAGTCTGCCAATATCACAACTCAACATCTCAATAAAAATAACCCTTGCAGATCGCGCAGCACAGTAGTTAACCTTTCTTCACGTTTGAAGCACGAAAATGGATGACGATGGACCTCTGTGGTCAGTGGACTCTGTTGGAAATTACTGGTTGATGTTCCCCAACAAACATGCTCTCGGAATTGAGGAAATACGTGAAATTTTTTCCGAGTTTGGCTACGTCAAAAATGTAACCCAAGCAGGCAACGAGAAGGGACTTCGATTTGTACAATTCACAACTTTGAAGGACACCGAGAGGGCCATCGAGAACTTAGAGGACCATCCGACTATCAGCTTACGAAAGCATCGACCACCAAAAAAAAACAAGAATAAAACAAACACTGCTAGTAACACTAATGTCAACAAAGATGTCAGATCGCCAAATAAAACTGATTCAGAGGAGGACTACAAAAAAAATTTGTTCCAGAGAAAAAACCCTTTACACAATAAGAGTGAACAGTTTAGTAGTGATTGCAGTTCTCAAGTTAGCAGTGAACAACAACGTAATGGCAAAACTGAGTCGTTGTTGTTTAAAAAAATACACAATATTCCAAAAAGTATGGTTAATGATAATTATAGCTTACAGGATTCATTTTTTTCTGCTAGGAGCTCGGCGTCACTTGATTCACTTGACAAAATTTTTACAAAACAGGAAAAAGTCTGTGCTCCTCTTTCTTCTCCAGAAGTAACAATGGATGATACTGCTTTGCATAATGATTCGATGAATAACTTTGTTGATAGTCTTGTTAGTGGTAATGAGAGTGATCAAATACCTGACCTAGTTACAAAAGTAAAACTTGTACCATCTTATCCTGTACTAGAAGCAGGAGAAGTTATAGTGGGGAACATTCATCCTCGTTATGGTGTTGGTTACATGTTGCACTTGTTTGAGAACTATGAACCAATTGCCATCAGTTTTATTAAAGTGACATCGAATTCTGAGCTCAGGTATTGCCATGTTTATTTTAAAAATTTACAAGACTCGATAGACGTTGAAGAAAATTTTGATAAGTACAAATTGGCAGGAAGAAATTTGATTGTGGCAAGGCCGAGTAGTTTATTGAAAGAGGCTCATCTTCGAAAACGATAGATTATAGCATTTAATTTATACAAATTATTATCAAGCCTTAAATGTGACGTATTTTTTACAATGAAGTAGTGGCAATGAATCGGTGATTTTGTTTATATTTTGAAGATTTTTTGCGATTGAATGTTACTGTAATATGCATGTATTGATCAACTGTAGAAATATACATCTTAATCTATTTAATAAAATGACTTATTTTCAAATTTCTAGAAATAGTAGTTTTCCTACGAGTTTGAAAAGTCTTTGTTTGCGAACCGAGATAGACCGGGAGCCTGCGACAAAAATTTTTGTCAAATCTTATTCACCAAAATACGTCATACATTGTATAAAGTACGTTATTCTGATGTCGAAAACCCATTTCTTACACTTAAACTATGGGACAACTGCGATAGATGTTGCGGGGGAGTATACAAAAAAAAAAGCTGACATGTCAAATCTTATTCATTATGAAACTGATTTTGTAGTTAATTTTTAGTAATTTAATTATGAAAATACATTTCTTACACCTGACAAGCGGGGAAAAGTTGTTCTTACAGAGTGCAAATCATGTGATATTTTTCGAGGGTGGTGTCAAATTTTATTCACTCAATTATTTATATGAGAGGGAAGTTTGAACCATAAATAATTAGAAAAAAAAGTTCTTAGAACTTGAACGCGGACCAAAAGAGTTCTTACACTACTTTCAAAGTGATAATTGAGAATATCCACTGAGCTCTTTTGCTGCAGTGNAGATTTGACACACATTTTGTCGCGGGCTCCCGGTCTAAGAGGTTTGCGGCCCGAGCCGAAGGCGAGGGTCGTAACGAGGTTCGTAAAGGCGACTTTTCGAACGAGTATTGGAAAACTGTTTTTTTGCCCGAGGGAGTACCAGCCTCCCAAAACCACCCGAGGGCGGAAAATTTTGTTTTCACCCCAAATGAAAAATCTATGAGGCTTAGCTGAGCTGAAAATTTATAATTGACTTACACATCTACAACATTTAGTCAAGTGGTGTGAAATAAGATTGTTTAAAGTCACAATAATTTATTAATATATTTATTTTGTTAATGATTTGAAAAAAACTCGCAGTGTATGCTAAAAAAAAAGTGTTTTTTTAAATTTAAACTTCAAACTGAATTTCTTAGAGCGTACCATCTATGATTTATTGTGTTTACTACGCCGTTGTCACTAAAATTTATCTTCTGCTAGTTTTCTGCGCGCGCGTGATGCATTTCTCCTCTGTGTCCTCTTTTTCCACGTTGAACTTTTACGGTTAAGTTTAAGACACATCTGATTACATAGCAGTGTTTACAAACAACAATCACCTTGTTTAACACGTGTGTCAACCAACCAAACATGAAATTAAAGATGGAAAAGCCGTTTAACAAAAAATTAACGAGAAAATTACTTGTGGAAGAGGATGGATTTATTTCTAAAGTTTTCGCTGGAATGCCGCTACCTGCACAAGAAATCGGTGAGTACATTCACAGAGATTAATCATATAACCTTCAATACTTCTAAAATTTTTAATCATTTATGTTAATTTTTAGTTGCCCTAAATCACGAGTCATTTTTACAGTACAGAAATAAATTTCAAAGAAAAGGTATGTTATGTTTTTTTTACCTAACTACAACATAATTGATACTTTACTAAAATTAAAAAATTGTTTAGAGTTTGGAGAACCTCATAAGAAAGCCAAAAACTTTGAAGAATTGCAAGCTAAAATTGATGAATTAAAAGGCAAGAAACTGAATTATAAAGAAAAGCTTATGAAAAAAGGCTTAAAGAACAGGATTCAGAAAAAAGCAAAGAAAGATCAGAGGCAAAAGGACAAACAGCGAGCTAGACTGGAACAAAAGTCTGTTCAGGCGTCTCAAGCTCAAGGCAAAGAAGATGATGAGGGAGAAGATGAAAAACCTAAAATTTCAAAACCACAGAAACCAATATTCAATTCGCAGGGACACATGGTATTTAGTAAATTTGACTTTTCGGATATTGGGACCAAAAAGAAGCCTGTCAAGACTGAAAAAGATCCAAAAAAGCTTCTGGAACACTTGACTGAGAAGAAAAAAAAGTTAAAGGAACTCATACAGTCTGGTGATAAAGAAAAAGCTTTAGAAATAAAAGAAAAAGATGCTTGGAAGGCAGCATTAGCCAAATCTACGGGAGAAAAGGTATTTGTTCGTGTACACGCTTCTATGTACATGGATTCTTATTAATACGTTTTATGTTACATTTGTATTTTAATGTTATATTTTTTTTAGGTCAAAGATGATCCAGAGCTTCTAAAGCGTACAATAAAAAGAGAAGAACAGAGGAAATTAAAAAGCAAAAGGAAGTGGGAAGCTAGAAATGAAAAAACACAGGCTGGTATCCAAGAAAGGCAACAAAAGAGATCAGAAAATATAATGAAGAGAAAAAAAGACGTGAAAAAAAATAAATTGAAAAAGGCATCTAAAAAGGGTCGTATAATTCCAGGTTTCTAGGGTAATTAAATCTTATATTTAATTTAGGAATTGAATTATAAATACCATGAAAAGTTGTAATTGAGAATATCCACTGAGCTCTTTTGCTGCAGTGCGCATGCGACAGTTATTATTTAGTTTTACTTCATCAATGGATTTAATCGCATGCAAACATAAAAAATAGATTAGTGTAACTTTAAAAGAATATATGTATAGACGAATAACAACAACAATCATTTGCAATATTTAATATATACATTGTTATAGAAAACTTAATTAAAATAACTGTTTCGTAAAAGGTATTCTCTATTATAACTTTGAAGAAAGTTAAAAAAAACTTAACATCTTTGTTTATCAAGTTTGTAACAATTATTCGCTCTTACTCTGCTTTCATTCAAACCTAACTTATGTACATCTATATTTTGTCCAAGCAGTGGCACAGCTTTTTATATACAAATTTCTAATCAAGTTTCTCCCTATAAAAATGTTCTTTGTGCATTTTCTAGATTTAAAAAAGAAACTACTTTATCATGGACACTTTATTTTGGCGTATAAAATGTTTTTAATCGACTCTTTTGTATTCATCATGTAGGGCTGTGTGTTTACTTTCTTTTGAAATGTACGCATAATTGCCATATAACTATGTGTTTTATAAAATCATAAAATTCTATTTAGGAAATTTGGAAAGAAAAAAATTTTTTTTAATAAAAGCTCTATTTTTACAAAATATCGTGGCATACGCTAAAAAACTAGTTTATACAATCCTTATGTATATCTAACATTTCAATTGAATGTATTTGCACTGGTGCAGTTTTTGTCACATCCAAGCTAGCGTTTGTAGTTGTAGGCCGTGAGTTTTGCTGGTACTTGGTAACAGCTATTTTGCGTGTTGAGCGGAAGCAAAAAGTTCGTACGTTAAAACCTGACTTGATTAGTCGGAGTAATTTGCATGCATACATTAATTTGAGATGATGGAGTTACACCACTTGTTTACGACATTCTTCTTAAATTTTACACATGCATAAACAGCTACACTTTCCGAGAGACCCTCAGTAAGGGAATTTTTGTTGTTTATTTTATATCGAATCGCGTGGGTGTGTCTTTTTGCGCAATCTTTAGAAAATATTTATATTAATTTAGTAGCAATAATTTGCTTAGAGCAACGTTACTTGTGTATTTATAAATAAAATACATACACATGCGTGCATCACACGTACATATTTTGTGAATTTATTTACACTTATTAAAAAATGTAAAGATTTAATCCATGTACGAGAAATTTTGTAGTTTTTTTCCACGAAGACATGGGTGTTACGGATGTTACATTTTTCTTAGTTTTCCTGTTACTCGGAGAACGACATCAATAATATCAATAGTTATCTTAAAGTATTGATTTCAGTAGTCGGTTGTTTGCTCCATAAAAAATAAAAACTTAAATAATGAAAAACGCCTCCACGCTCGTAAACGACAAAATCAAAAAAATAAATTCAAAATTGGGCAAGTGTTGGTCAAGTTCCTCAATTTTGCTTGACGATTTCAACTTACAAGTCACTATTATGTGAAATTTCTCCAAAGAAAACTATAATGTTTGTCTGACGCGTCCACGCATCACTTATAATTTATCGTGTTACCGCAGAAATCGTCAAAAGTGAAAATCACACTTGAGCACGTAAACATACATAAATCGTGTTAGAAACACGATGTTCAGAGTGTAACGGTTGGCAAAAGCAACGACTACAGAAATGTCAAAGCCTCGTATCCAACCAATTTTAAGTATCACAAACGATACTGCACAATAAAGCTTTTGCAAGTAATTATATTAATAACACCCCGTGGATGCTCTTTCACAAGATAATCACTTGATACCGATACAACCCAGTGGACAAATCGTGCTTGATCGAGTCCATATTACGCGATTCGAAAGAAAAATCTTCTTGACCCTTTCTTCCAGTTATAGCCATCGGTACGACCAAAAAGACCTTAAAAAGCCTCGAATGGCATGTAGGTGTAATCCCTAAAACATAACTAATGAAATCAGGTGGATGAAGGCGCGGGAGCCGAGGGTTGTTCTTTCGCCAAAGTCGCGGGCAGCGACTCGTCTGCGACTGGCCGAGCTGATGTTGTGCAGGTCGGCTGCAGCCCAGACTGGAACTCACGTCAGTAGATGATCGGCAGATCGAGGACGAGGGCGCTTATGTATCCCGCGTCCGGAGCGTCCTGCTAGGTGTTCTCGAGCTCTGCCTCCCCGACCACGCTCGGATTCGTCAATGCGGTCCACAGCGGACTGTGGTCCGGAGGAACTGGCACCGCGTTCGATCTCGACGGCCGTGGCGATCTGCCACAAAGTAGAACCGATTTCAGTGCTAATGTACGGGATAGCCGTCTCATAGGTATAATTGGTGGAGTACACGTACCTGGAAATCGCCGGGGCCGAATGTTATTCGGGACTACTGAGTTCCACGGCGGTGCTCAGCTCGGGATCGGAGCGCTCCTCGAGCACAGTGTCCAGCTCCAATGCGGCGAACGCCCTCGAGCCTCTGTCGCCGCGGAGATTCACGGTCTTGGGGGGTTTCTCGATGCCGGCTGAAATTCGTGAGAAATTTCATTAGCTGTACCACCAATAGAGGAAAAACATTTTATTTAGAGTGGATGTCGAAGAACAAGGGGCTAGTGGATCGCGCGTATCAGAGATGACGTGCCCGTTAATGAAAATCTAGATAAACGATCGTTTTCGTACAAAATTATACGCGTCATATTGTACCTTCCAGGATACATTGGAAATAAAAGTTTTAAGCGCTTTGATGTGATTTCTTTCCAAATCCAGAGAAGGAAAATTTTTCTGTGAAATTTCTGGTGAGTGGAGCAGAGTATCACGTATAAAAAAAAAAAGAAGGGCGTATGTGCGTGTTATAAACGACGACTATACTAATGAACGACTCACCTAAGCGGTGCACGGGGCTGAACCTGACGAGACTGAGTGCCCCATGTTCGACGTCGCAGTTCCTTCGTCGGGCCCGGGCGCGGGCCAATTTTGCTCTTCTCCGCAGGCAGCATATGACCAGGAGCGCCAGGACCGGGAAACCGACGATGCAAGAGACTATGGGTATGATCACGCTTTCGGGGGAAACTGCAACAAAGCAAGGGTATGGCAGACGTTAGAGGTGTGTGGAATATAATTATAAGGATATATAATAAAAAAAAAAGGTCAGTTATTGGTTCGATGATTTTAGACGATATGGCTTGACATGTCCTAATGAAGATTTTTACATTACCTCGATACTTTACACGATTTTGTTATTCATCTTACGTTTGAATTAAAAATATGTATATTATACAAACTGTCTTTTTTAATATTCTTTTTTGTTGTCATTTTATGTACTTTTTAATAAAATGTATTTGTACGCACTCGATGAGATTAGGTATGTAGGTTTATATTACGCAGCATCGTGGGAATGAAAAAACAAAATTTGACGGCTAAATAGGTTTTTACATAACACACCAAGTTTAATAAATTTGCATGTATCATCAAAAATTTAAGCAAGAGCAGAGAAAATTTCGTATCAATTTGATAACGTCACGCGTTTACGTGCCTTATAAAAAAAGAATGCGATTGAAAACTCTTTTTCTATACTAAATTATTTAAGTGTATATACATGCATTTAATAAACATTTTCTTATTCAATATCATAATATAAATCATACATAGAATAAATAAACGTACAACATTATAATTAAATAGTGCAAAAATGTACGTTTAATGAGAGTTGCATGCAATTTTTATTTTATATTTTTTTCCTCTTTAACTCAATGTATAAATTATCTAAAGATATTTTAATTAAACTGCTCTAGTTCCGACCTCACAGGAAAGTCGACAACAAAAAGTGTGCGACAAAATCATTTCAAATCATATTTGACCAAATAAATGTCAGACAAATCAGTTGCTGAGGTCTAGTTCCGAAAATAAAAATGAATAATTGTCTTTGATTTTCACTAATCCAAAATAACAGCTACTTTAGCCGTAACTCTACTATTAACCGAGTAACAGGCGTTTAAAATTTTCGTTTATTTTTCAGTTAAAATTTTAAATCTAAGCAATACTTATCATGGCTTCGTAGACGTTTGAATCGATACAGTGGACTACCTAGAGAGCTTATTAAACCATACGATTGTCTAACAAAGCACTGGTTAAGGCCAAGATTACGAAAGAAATTTTTAATTTTTTTTTTATTTTTAATGATCTGAAAATATCGCTATTTTCGCTGTATCTCCATTATTTACGGAGTTACAGGCGTTTTAAGTTTTCGATAATTTTTAAGCCCAATTTTTCGAAATCTAAGGAATATCATGGCTTCGTAGACCTCGTAACATACGATTGTCTAACAAAGCACTGGTTAAGGCCAAGATTACGAAAGAAATTTTTAATTTTTTTTTTTTTTTATTTTAATGATCCGAAAATATGGCTATTTTCGCTGTATCTCCATTATTTACGGAGTTACGGGCGTTTTAAAGTTTTAATAATAGTCACAATAATTTATTAATATATTTATTTTGTTAATGATTTGAAAAAAACTCGCAGTGNGGATATCATGGCTTCGTAGACCCTTGTATCGATACAGTGGACTACCCAGGAAGCTTATTTGACCATATATTTGTCTAACATAGCACTAGCTAATGCCTAGGTTATGAAAGAAATTTTTTATTTTTTTTTTTATTTTAGTGATCCGAAAATATGGCTGTTTTCGCTGTATCTCCATTATTCACGGAGTTACAGGCGTTTTAAGTTTTCGGGAATTTTTAAGCCTAATTTTTTTAAATCTTAGGAATATCATGGCTTCGTAGACCTTTGTATCGATACAGTGGACTACCCAGGAAGCTTATTTGACCATATATTTGTCTAACATAGCACTAGCTAATGCCTGGATTATGAAAGAAATTTTTTATTTTTTTTTTTATTTTCATGATCCGAAAATATGGCTATTTTCACTGTATCTCCATTATTCACGGAGTTACAGGCGTTTTAAGTTTTCGGAAATTTTTAAGCCTAATTTTTCATAATCTAAAGGATATCATGGCTTCGTAGACCCTTGTATCGATACAGTGGACTACCCAGGAAGCTTATTTGACCATATATTTGTCTAACATAGCACTAGCTAATGCCTGGATTATGAAAGAAATTTTTTATTTTTTTTTTTATTTTCATGATCCGAAAATATGGCTATTTTCACTGTATCTCCATTATTCACGGAGTTACAGGCGTTTTAAGTTTTCGGAAATTTTTAAGCCTAATTTTTCATAATCTAAAGGATATCATGGCTTCGTAGACCCTTGTATCGATACAGTGGACTACCCAGGAAGCTTATTTGACCATATATTTGTCTAACATAGCACTAGCTAATGCCTGGATTATGAAAGAAATTTTTTATTTTTTTTTTTATTTTCATGATCCGAAAATATGGCTATTTTCACTGTATCTCCATTATTCACGGAGTTACAGGCGTTTTAAGTTTTCGGAAATTTTTAAGCCTAATTTTTCATAATCTAAAGGATATCATGGCTTCGTAGACCCTTGTATCGATACAGTGGACTACCCAGGAAGCTTATTTGACCATATATTTGTCTAACATAGCACTAGCTAATGCCTGGATTATGAAAGAAATTTTTTATTTTTTTTTTTATTTTCATGATCCGAAAATATGGCTATTTTCACTGTATCTCCATTATTCACGGAGTTACAGGCGTTTTAAGTTTTCGGAAATTTTTAAGCCTAATTTTTCATAATCTAAAGGATATCATGGCTTCGTAGACCCTTGTATCGATACAGTGGACTACCCAGGAAGCTTATTTGACCATATATTTGTCTAACATAGCACTAGCTAATGCCTGGATTATGAAAGAAATTTTTTATTTTTTTTTTTATTTTCATGATCCGAAAATATGGCTATTTTCACTGTATCTCCATTATTCACGGAGTTACAGGCGTTTTAAGTTTTCGGAAATTTTTAAGCCTAATTTTTCATAATCTAAAGGATATCATGGCTTCGTAGACCCTTGTATCGATACAGTGGACTACCCAGGAAGCTTATTTGACCATATATTTGTCTAACATAGCACTAGCTAATGCCTGGATTATGAAAGAAATTTTTTATTTTTTTTTTTATTTTCATGATCCGAAAATATGGCTATTTTCACTGTATCTCCATTATTCACGGAGTTACAGGCGTTTTAAGTTTTCGGAAATTTTTAAGCCTAATTTTTCATAATCTAAAGGATATCATGGCTTCGTAGACCCTTGTATCGATACAGTGGACTACCCAGGAAGCTTATTTGACCATATATTTGTCTTACATAGCACTAGCTAAGGCCTAGATTATGAAAGAAATTTTTTATTTTTATTTTTGTTTTAATGATCTGAAAATATGGCTATTTTGCTGTATTTTTATTATTCACGAAGTTACAGGCGTTTTATATTTTCGGAAATTTTTAAGCCCAATTTTTCATAATCTAAGGGATATCATGGCTTCGTATACCTTTGTATCGATACAGTGGACTACCCAGGAAGCTTATTTGACCATTTATTTGTCTAACATAGCACTAGCTAAGGCCTAGATTACGAAAGAAATTTTTTATTTCTTATTTATTTTAATGATCCGAAAATATGGCTATTTTCGCTGTATCTCCATTATTTACGGAGTTACAGGCGTTTTAAGTTTTCGGAAATTTTTAAGCCCAATTTTTCATAATCTAAGGGATATCATGGCTTCGTAGACCCTTGTATCGATGCAGTGGACTACCCAGGAAGCTTATTTGACCATATATTTGTCTAACATAGCACTAGCTAATGCCTAGATTATGAAAGAAATTTTTTATTTTTTTTTTTATTTTAATGATCCGAAAATATGGCTATTTTCGCTGTATCTCCATTATTTACGGAGTTACAGGCGTTTTAAGTTTTCGGAAATTTTTAAGCCCAATTTTTCATAATCTAAGGGATATCATGGCTTCGTAGACCCTTGTATCGATGCAGTGGACTACCCAGGAAGCTTATTTGACCATATATTTGTCTAACATAGCACTAGCTAATGCCTAGATTATGAAAGAAATTTTTTATTTTTTTTTTTATTTTAATGATCCGAAAATATGGCTATTTTCGCTGTATCTCCATTATTCACGGAGTTACAGGCGTTTTAAGTTTTCGGAAATTTTTAAGCCCAATTTTTCATAATCTAAGGGATATCATGGCTTCGTAGACCCTTGTATCGATGCAGTGGACTACCCAGGAAGCTTATTTGACCATATATTTGTCTAACATAGCACTAGCTAATGCCTAGATTATGAAAGAAATTTTTTATTTTTTTTTTTATTTTAATGATCCGAAAATATGGCTATTTTCGCTGTATCTCCATTATTCACGGAGTTACAGGCGTTTTAAGTTTTCGGAAATTTTTAAGCCCAATTTTTCATAATCTAAGGGATATCATGGCTTCGTAGACCCTTGTATCGATGCAGTGGACTACCCAGGAAGCTTATTTGACCATATATTTGTCTAACATAGCACTGGCTAAGGCCTAGATTACAAAAAAAAATTTTTATTTTTTATTATTGTCATTGATCCGAAAATATGGCTATTTTCGCTGTATCTCCATTATTCACGGAGTTACAGGCGTTTTAAGTTTTCGGAAATTTTTAAGCCCAATTTTTCATAATCTAAGGGATATCATGGCTTCGTAGACCCTTGTATCGATGCAGTGGACTACCCAGGAAGCTTATTTGACCATATATTTGTCTAACATAGCACTGGCTAAGGCCTAGATTACAAAAAAAAATTTTTATTTTTTATTATTGTCATTGATCCGAAAATATGGCTATTTTCGCTGTATCTCCATTATTTACGGAGTTACAGGCGTTTTAAGTTTTCGGAAATTTTTAAGCCCAATTTTTCATAATCTAAGGGATATCATGGCTTCGTAGACCCTTGTATCGATGCAGTGGACTACCCAGGAAGCTTATTTGACCATATATTTGTCTAACATAGCACTAGCTAATGCCTAGATTATGAAAGAAATTTTTTATTTTTTTTTTTATTTTAATGATCCGAAAATATGGCTATTTTCGCTGTATCTCCATTATTTACGGAGTTACAGGCGTTTTAAGTTTTCGGAAATTTTTAAGCCCAATTTTTCATAATCTAAGGGATATCATGGCTTCGTAGACCCTTGTATCGATGCAGTGGACTACCCAGGAAGCTTATTTGACCATATATTTGTCTAACATAGCACTAGCTAATGCCTAGATTATGAAAGAAATTTTTTATTTTTTTTTTTATTTTAATGATCCGAAAATATGGCTATTTTCGCTGTATCTCCTTTATTCACGGAGTTACAGGCGTTTTAAGTTTTCGGAAATTTTTAAGCCCAATTTTTCATAATCTAAGGGGTATCATGGCTTCGTAGACCTTTGTATCGATATAGTGGACTACCTAGGAAGCTTATTTGACCAAATATTGGTCTCACAAAGCACTGGCTAAGCCCTTGATTACGAAAGAAAATTTTTCATTTTTTTATTTTTGATGATCTGAAAATATGGCTATTTTCGCTGTAGCTCTATTATTTACGGAGTTACAGGCGTTTTAAGTTTTCGATAATTTTAGAGCCCATTTTTCTTAATTTGAAGGACTGTCATGGTTTCGTAGACCCTTGTATCGATGCAGTGGACTACCCAGGAAGCTTATTTGACTATATATTGGTCTCACAAAGCACTGGCTAAGGCCTAGATTACGAAAGAAATTTTTCATTTTTTTGTTTTTGATGATCCGAAAATATGGCTATTTTCGCTGTATCTCCATTATTTACGGAGTTACAGGCGTTTTAAGTTTTCGATAATTTCAGAGCCTATTTTTTTTAAATCAAAGGACTATTATGGCTTCGTAGACGTTTGTATCAATACAGTGGACTACCTAGGAAGCTTTTTCGACCATATGTTTGTCTAACAAAACACTGGCTAAGGCCTAGATTACGAAAGAAATTTTTTATTTATTTTTTTGTTTCTTTAATGATCCGAAAATATGGCTATTTTTGCTGTATTTCCATTATTTACGGAGTTACAGGCGTTTTAAGTTTTCGATAATTTTTAAGCCCAATTTTTCGAAATCTAAGGGATATCATGGCTTCGTAGACGTTTGTATCGATACAGTGGACTACCTAGGAAGCTTATTTGACCATATGTTTGTCTAACAAAGCACTGGCTAAGGCCTAGATTACGAAAGAAATTTGTTATTTATATTTTTTTTTTAATGATCCGAAAATATGGCTATTTTTGCTGTATCTCCATTATTTACGGAGTTACAGGCGTTTTAAGTTTTCGATAATTTTTAAGCCCAATTTTTCGAAATCTAAGGGATATCATGGCTTTGAGACGTTTGTATCGATACAGTGGACTACCTAGGAAGCTCATTTATCTATATAAGTATTTTACAAAGCACCGGCTAAAGCCTATTCCTCAAAATATAATATTTTTATGCATAAACGTTTTTTTGTACTGCAAGGCCTTTTGGTTTACGAGGACATAGCCTTAAGAGTGCCGGTCTTGATTTAGAACAATATTTAAATTAAGCAAACTCTACACAGAGTGGGAGCACGTAGGCGTGAACGCGCTCTCACGCACATGTATAGTTTAACAGTTGGTTGGTGAAGGTGATACAAAAAGCACCTTGGAGGCATTGGTGCTATCGACGTCTGAGAGTATCGCGTGTACAAAATTTGAATTTCGAATCGATGGCCAGGGATCTTTTTTTGGTCCGATCTACTCACTGAGTGAGTTTACCGTCATGCTGCATCTACCCACTTGGCCTTTGTTCCGATGAGGGCGATAGATAACCTAGTCTGATAGCCTTGTACGAAGGACTACGGTTAGGCCATGCACGAACTCAGGGTTTCTCTTCAATAAGCACAAAATTGTGGTTGTATCAGCGTTACTGATGCGCGAGAGCGTTTTGCACTGTTTTCCCTCAGCAGTGAGCTGTTGTGTTATTAATAGGGGGTTGCGTGTACTGCCGCTGTAAGTTTTTACTCCTACCTTTTTGACGATCTCTATCTTTGGCTGTTTATGCGAAGGTTGGCGAATTTGAAGGGCAAGTGTGCGAGAAGGCCTATTCTACTCGGGCTCATTTTTAGCTGAGATCAATTTGTTAGACGGATCATCGGAAAAAATGCACACTCACATTTTTTTTCTTCCAATGATAATTATAAGCAAAAAACTGACAAGGAGACTGTGCTCCAAAATTTGGCGTAGTCACGGGATTTATCAATACCATCGGAGATGTCGAGTTGACTCCGAAACCTTTAAAGCATATGAATTAAATGAAGTAGACCAGCTCTTTTCCCCAGTTTTATATAAAGCAATAAGATCAAAAACTTTACTTATTGTTTGTGAAAGCATATGGTTTAATTGCCCCGATATTTCTTAAAATTGAAGTATTTATTATGATTATTCTTGTGCAATAAAAATGTTGGCACGATTTTTATCAAATTTTCATCTTTGCTATAGTCGTTGACAAAGTAGTCACGAATATTAGCAAAAAGGGGCAGATCGAGATCGACGAAAATCATTTTAAGGCCCCTAATATAAATCTTTTTTTTTATATTCAGTTTCAAAGAAATGAAAGCAGTTTATAAGAGCTATTAGCTTATAATCTTTCGTTCATTTAAAAGGAAAAAAAGCGATGAATTCATATTGGTAATCCAATCTAATAAATTCACAATATATATAATATACGTGTTATAAGTAGGGGAGTAGTTAAAACATTACCACCTGTCGGATAGATGATGATAGGTCTCTTCGAGTGGGCGATCGTGGGCAGCGTTGGCTTGGGTCTGACTGCCGTCGACGACATCTCTTTCTCCACAGGCCCCTCAGTTTTGGTGCAGGTATTCCTGCAACATAAAAACAACAAAATATTAAAACTTGGTTGCACAATATTGAACGTTGGATAATAAATTTAGTGGGGTGTTGATAAAATACAAAAAACAACAGTTTGAATCGATGCCAAGGATAGTATAACATGAATCATTATATGTAAGGAGAAATGGAGTCGGAAAAGTGCCCTACGAGCAGATAGGCGCACACATAGATAATACAGTCAGTTCCCCGACCCATCGTAGATTCATACGCAAATACGAGTCGAGCTCAAGAGCTTTGTCCCGAAAACCTACTGCAACTTGACTCTTTTTCTAACGGGCTCGCCAGCGCGCTTTGTTTGCTCGGGAAAGAAAAAAAAAGAAAAAAAAAACAGTTCATACAGTACCCACAAACGGACTACGAAATTCGCGACAAAATTATCAAGTCCAACTAAATGAAATTTATCGCCATGTATTATGTATATTACACAATCATCGCTCGATTAAAACAACGATTTGATTTATAACGTAACCAAATAAACAAACAAACGATTGGTAATACTAGTGTCCATGATTTATGGACGACGAGCATTTTGCAACATCATCACACACACACACACACACACACACACATTATTTCGAGTACAGTTTCACCGGACATATATATACATGTAATAATAGTACACAATAACTCCCCCGATCAAACGGGAGTTTACGAATTAGTTTTCCCAGGCTACACGTGTCTGATACACTCAGCCGCGAAACTGCTAGCTTGTGTTACTAACTCATGCGCATCTCTTAGTAGTAATATATAACGGGTAATGTCAACTCGAGTAAAGAGCCTGACGCAGCACAAAGTAAGCTGCACCAGCCCCGTAAATACAGGTACTCCCGATAGTGCATAAAACCCCTTACGTTATATAACCCCGTTTACGAGCTACCGTGCAATATCAGCAGCGATAAGAGCACGGGAAAACGCTTCATTCGCAATATCGAGTATCAAAGTATGGATGGCGATCGGCGAAAGGTAGCCGAAGAACACCCCCTAATGTTTTGGAAATTCATCCATTCGATCGTCCGAGGTGCAGCCAAGACGGCAGTCAGAATAACAGAGTTAATATAAAAGATGTAGAGGTAAGGAGAGCCGTCCACGGAGATCCTCGGGGGCTGAGAGCTTTTATAGCACGTGTCTACCCTCGGCAACTCGGCGTCTTCTTTAGGTGTATATATTATACGTATATACACACCGCGTACCCGCGAGTGGGTGCCTTCGTAGGTATACCATCGGTGTATTATATGATATACCTGCGGAGGACAGGTTCAATTTCAATGCAGCGACGGCTATGCTATTACACGGCACATTCAAGGGGGTCAGCATGAGATTCCCTCGACCTCTGGACAAATACATACACACACCAATCTCCCTCGCTCCCACGAAGCCGTGACCCGAGCTCTTATCGCGGCAGCGATATCTTTTTCCGCATCGGTAAACAAATGTATCCCACCCCCGTGTACTTATATAGGCACTCTGTTGTTCAGCAACTAGAGCTCCGAGCTCAATAATGGCATCGGTGTCAAACAAGCGCTCCTTGTGCATCGGCTGTCCTTCGTTATTTTCTTTTTTTTTTCTTTCTCTTTCCCCCGAGCCGAGCACACGGAAGGATATTGAGCGCTCCTCTATCGCGTGCTCCCTAAACCGACGAGGAGACGAGTTATAAGCTTGTGTGATCTACAGGTGTCGCGATGCTTGCGCCACTCGTGTAACAAAATGTTGTAGGATCCATCCAATGTCGAAAGCTTTGCGCCTTTGTAGCGGCTGGAAAATCAGCCGAGATTCACGGGAAAAACAAAACGGATGCATGTAGACAGGGTGGAGGAATAAAGCCTCGCGGGGATGTAGGGACACCGGGTCGAGCTAATATTTGCGGGCCGGCGGGAGAAAGGGTATGTTGCACCTGCAGCAGAGTGCCGGAGAGGGTGAAATCCTCGGGCACATGTTTGTGACTATGGAGGCTCACGTCTGTCTGTCTGGGTGCTTCGGCAGTAGATATAGCAGGAGCTGTCAAGCTCGTGCAATCGTTTTTTAAGCCTTTCTTTTCATCCAGTATCTGCTCGATCGTGTCACTTCAAGGCTTATTTCAAAGATAACTAACAATTGGGGGAATCTTGTGTGCAATTGTTACATCTTAACGGTGTTTCAATCTTCAATCTTATCTCTACGGTGTACGAGACCGCGGCAAAAGCAGGGGCAAAGGGGTTTGGCTGTATGGATACGTGGGAGTAGGGCGCGCGATGCTGTAGCTGCCGTGGCTAATGTGGTATTAACGCCCTATAAGCCGAGCGACCCCCTTCACGCTGATTTTCTATCTCCCTCCGCTTGGCACCTACTTGCCTCATTTTGCTAAGTGCTGCTTCTACCAAAGTTTCAGCTTTTCAGCCCCTCCCTCCCCTCCACACACTTTTTTCTTCCTTTTATTTATCCCACCGCTCACACAGTGCAGTGCTCGCTCTTGAAATGGTAAACACGCGATGCGATGGGCTTGGATATACCTAGTATTGTTCCGCGAGCACGGGCATACCTGTACACTGTACACATATAGATGTGGATATAAATTTACGGCCCGAGCATCCAAGGATAAACTAGACACGCTTCCAGTAAAAGATTTCTCTCTCTCTCTTTTTTTTTTTTTTTTTTCATCCTCTTGCACGCGCATATTTCAGTTGCGAGGGTACATTGTTTATATATTTTAATCTACAAATTTTGATTGAAAAACATACATTTCTTCTGTACTTACTTTTATCTACGTAATTGGAGTTGAGGGGCAAGTACTTTTCATCATAGGTTTTATATATTCAGGTAAAAGGATGAATTTATTGAAAAAGCTTTTGAAATATTTTCAAATCAATTTCACTTATTTTGGTCTTGGCCGCAACGCTTTCAAATTGTGTGTAGAAAATCTTTCGTTGGGTCGAAGAGTCAACTCTTGGACGCTCGAAATTGGCTGTTTCGTAAGTATGTTGAAGCTGTCGAGTGCATCGTCAAGTTTTTTTTCCAACTTCAAATGCGAATATAGTTAGTAGCAATATCGTCGAGTATGTACGGAGTTTGTCTCGGTAAAATAAATAAGCTGTCGTTACCGTAATGGTTTTTTGAAGTATTTTAAAAACTGCATTTTAATGAACATGAATTTAAGTTTAAATGTCGATAGAGTCGAGGCCAGCGTATAGCTCAGAACAAATTTATAAAAAAAAATTGTAATCCCTCCATTTTGGAAATTCCGTTTCACACGTCAAAAAAAAAAAAATACATATACAAATACAAATAAGAGTGTATCATGGGGACGCGTATTTCAATAGAATTTGACAGGTTATTTTTCGTTATATTTTTTTTTTTTTTTTCATAAATAATATCCAAGCCAAGCTATTGCGGCAAGTGTGGTTTAAATGCCAGAACTATGCATAACACGCGCCCTTGTCGGTCCAGCCGAGCACGCTTTCAAAGTTTTTATTTAATTACAACGCGGCTCCGGCTTTACTGTCACGGCATTAAAAATTTTATTCCCTCAGCCTTTAATGAAAATACTAATCTCTTTACCATAACCAGGGAGCACGAGCATTCTAATTAAACATACAATGAGGGGGAGTACGGAGCAAAAAAACAGTATTCGCAATTTGGCTTTTGCCTGGAAAACGACTATTCGAGGAGTCCAGCCTTGTGCCCCGTGTACTTTTAACGTTTTTCTACACGTTTTACAAACTATTTGGAAAAATAATCAAACCCATTTGTTATGAAATTTTAAATGAATGCTCGAGGATCACAGAAAGGTATAAAATGAACTTATGTTGCATATACGTGTTTTTTAATAAAACGCTTGTCAGTGCTAACTTTATTTTCAATAGTGTTTTTGACAATATTTAGGTACGTGCCTTATATAATCTTAGTTTAATTTTTCACCCACTTAATAACTATCGGTAACTGTACTGAAGGTACAAACGAGCTCTTTAGACATGGAAATATTTTTGCTTCGATATTGTATTAATTTTCATGTACCTGAAAGAAAGGAAAAAATTTGCTGGCATTGAAAACTTGTAGCTGTGCATAAACGAAAATTTGATTGGCACCCTCGTAGAAATTGAAACAACTCGAATTGAAGAAATTCGAGAGTTACGATTTGTATCTTCCCTCGAAAAATTTTCCGATTGTCCTATCGTTCAATCACCGAAAATTGGACTAGCCCGCGTTGTAGAAGCGCTAATAACAGGCAGTAGTCCAATTTCGCTGCGCCCGTAAAATTCATATTTCCACGAACAAAAATAAACAGAGAAGGGAGTCCAAATAACTTTTTTTTTCCTGTCAATCGATCGGTGGGACGTGAAAAAAAAAAAAAAGAAAAAAAATACATTTCCTCCACTACCGAGCGCCACCCGATTCCACCGCGTAGAGGCTCGTCGCCACTTGCAAATATTTTCCCGTCCCTTTTAGCGCACACAGCGACAATTAAGCGCCGGCAGCCCCTCGAGGAGTAGCTATGTATGCACAAAAACAGCCACGGGACCGCGAGCGTATCAAGAACTCGGCCACCACCTCGAAAGCTCGCTCCGTTCGAGCGCCGATCGGATTTCCGGAGATGTGGCCCTACAGTCTCGACGTTACGATTAATGTCCCGTCCACGCGAGACGCGAGTACATTATTTCTTGCTTACTTTTTTTTCTCTTCCAAATACAAAGATGTACAGATAGGGAAAAAAAGCTCATCAGCCAACAACTCGCTCGACGAGTCAATGGATTTTGTTTTCGTATATACCGATCCATCGAGATCTCCCACTTTGTATTTATTTACTCGAGGAAAGATCTGTTTTCCCAAATAGATCGGGTGAGCTTGCATCTATTCGTCTCAATGTATAAGCAAAGCGCACGGAGGATGATCTTTCGAATCTGCCGTGCACGGGCCGTGAGTAGTAACAGCTGAGTCGGGCAAGCCTGCTGATGGATGGCGCTCGATCACGGGAGAGCAAACGAGGATGACATATATAGCT